GTTGTTTTCGTCTCAGCGAGTTTAGAATGGAGCATTGACCTTAAGTGACCTCACTAGGCGCCAGGCAAGTTAAGGCTTGTTTTCAGGTAAGTACACTTGTCATTGTCCTTTTGTATGTCCAGACCATTCCATTTGAAAAGGTAAGAAAGAAAAACTTATAATCGTAAACAGATATTGTTTAAAAAATAGAGTTGATTGATTAAATTAATGATCATATATTGAAACATTTCTGTTCAAGATAAACTTGTTATCATTATATTAATTCATAGCTAAATTCAAGGTTATCCCCCTTTGTATGGATAATGGAAGATCCCAAGGCACTGGTAATTATGCCTCACCTAGACTCGACCACTATATTATGGGTATGACTATGCGTATATACAAGAAAAATGTAAGGCCAACACCTGGACTTTACTCTAGCTTTTTAAAAATAAATAAAGTTGTATATAATAGACCAAAAGTCATAACATCGTGGGCAAAACGTGTTGAATCATATCAATATTAAATAGATGCAAATGGTTGCGACCATCCAGAAGCGTCATCTAGCGAAATGTTACAAAACTGCAGGACTTTTATCACAAGGAAACCCACCAGCATGTCACACATACTAAAGTCGCCTGTATTGGTGCCGATTTTGGTTCTCTAAGTTTCCTTTTGCCAGCAAGGTAGTTGACAACCATTCCAGATAGTTCTTTAGTCACATACTAGGTAAGTTACACTCATTTCGAACTAATTTTTCAATGAAATAACGGGAAAATACACTCCGAAGTTCAAGAAAGGGGGTGGGGGGCATGGGCAGTTCAAAAATCAAAACAAACTTTTTGAACTCATTTCCTGAATTTGAATATGGCTCATTTTTGTTCTTAACACTAATAGAATATTCTTGAATGAGTTTTAAATGTGTGACAGACAATGCACAATTGCACAATTCTTAGCTTTGACAATATTCAACAGAAATGGTTGTATGACGTCATGGTAGTTTCACAACATTGCATCACATGTACCCAATAGAACTTCATGTAACGTGGAAACTACGTTTGGAAAATGCACTCTATCTGAAGACATGAAACATACGAACGCCTGAATTCTATCCTGACAACTGGTACAAGACAATAGGTTCCAAGGTAAGATGGAATCATATAACCCAGAAAATAATTTTGATGTTTAAAATGTTTTCAGTGTAATGAGAGATTTTCATGGCTCTATATTTGGTGTATATTGCCAAAGCTTGATACTGATGTATTGTTCTCTGTATCTTTACTAGCTATATATAGTATGCATATATGATATAGCCGGTATAACCGCCTTTCGGTGTAACACACCAGCTTCGCAGGCACGCGGCGCGGCAGCAACTAGCTATGTCACACTGAACGACTTGTTACACCTAACCCTTGAACATCTAACTCTAATTATTTAAAGCTATCTAATGATAATACCCCTACTGTTGTTTCTAGTTAGTAGATTTTAATGTTATATGAAATACTGAGTTGTCTTTATTATCTTTTCATCCAATATTTTCACTGAAAGGCAGTGAACAGCATGACTGAGACCACAATGGAAGAGCAGTTGAATCCAGACGACCAATCAGAGGGTAGCATCCAGAAGCCTCCACCAATCAGGGACCTGCGTCTAGGCAAGCGGCTGGCGTACCTGTTACGGTACGGAGCTGAGAAGGAAGGGCTACACGTCAGGGAAGGAGGTGAGATCATTTTAATTTCTTCATTTTTTTATTTATTTATGAAGACTTGTGTTGTGGAAGGATTGACATAACAGGTGACTATCACTTCTTAAATATGTCAACCCTGAGACCAGACTGTAAGGTTTGAACCACTCACACAGCTGCATGGAAGGACCCTGACTCTTTTTGATAAGTGTGATGGCTTCTTTAACATGTTCATTTTGTGACTCTCCTGAAACAAGGGACCTCTGTCTTTACATCCTATCTGAGAGGACGCCCCTAACCAAAGCCATTGGTGCTCATCTTCACCTAAGTGGAGTGAGGAAAAAAAAAAAGTTAGTGCCTTTCCCAGGGGCACAATGATGGGGCCAACCCTGGCTTTGAACCCTTCAGATTCTAAATTACACCACTGTCTTGTTTTTGGGGGATCATTAGGGTTACTAGCTCATACTTCTTACATATCATACTAAACATGTATTATTTTGTACTACTACAGGGTTTGTATACATTGAAGAGTTGATGACAGTCCCATTGCTAAGACATCACCAGAAAGATGAAGTCCTGAGGGAGGTGAGAGAGTCGACCAGTTACAGGGGAAACAAACGGTTTGAGGAGAGACGAGAAAAGGACAGGACACTGGTCAGGGCTCTGTACCGCAGGAGGTTTGAGAGGGTGAGAGAAGTCATAAGCCTGTCTTAGTTTCATAATTTCTAATCTGCAAGTAGATCCTAGGGTGGCAAAAAAACAGTATTAAATTTGCCAGGCACTATTCATTGGCCATAAAGGGTCTCTTAGGTGGCGTATTGGACCCTCTCTGGTCAGTGGATACAATTTGATATTGTCTTTTGCCACCCTAGGATCTGCTTGGGGATTACATAATTTCTCATTGCCAGTGGCTGAATGGGCCTCCTCTCTGAGAGTTTGTGGCCATACGTATACACCTCTAACTCAAAAGAACCATTCCCATGCATTGTATGTAAACCTACAAATTTATTTGGGTGCACTGGTTCACCCAGAGAGAAAAAATTGTGTACACTGCTTTAATTTTGGGCGCATTAAGGTGCACATGCACCCAGTATTTTAAGTTAAGTTAACCATGTTTACTTGATTTTTTAGAACCCTTACCATGCTGGCACCAAAGTCCCGCGGCTGTTGGAAGTCTGTATGGAGTTTGTCTGTAATAACATCAAACAGTTTGACTTGGAGTGCTTCCAGGATGACTTCATTGTCAAGTAAGGCTTTATATTGTTACCACTTTTCTACATGTATTTAGTCCATCCCAATGGATATCTGTGGGCTCATGTTTTTGTGTGGGTGTAGGTGGGGGTTAGGACTATATATGTTTGAATATGTGTGTGTGAATCTGTGTATGAAATTGTGTGTTGGACCAGGCATGTGTGGGAATATGTCTGTTTTTGTGATTGTGTTTGTATGTGCCTCATGTGTGTGCGTGTGTGCATTATTTGCGTTTGTGTCTGTGTAAGAGTGTATGTGTGTGTGTGTGTGCCTGTATGTGCATGTCATGTGTGTACCTGTATGTGTGTGTGTGTATGTATGTGTATTTGTTTTACTTGGGTACGTGTCTACCTTATGAGTGACAAGTGTGTGTGTGTGTGTCACTCAGTTTGCATTTATGCCTGTGTACAGAATGTATGTGTGCTTCAAACCTACAACAAATGGTCGAAATCTGCCAACCCTGAATATTTAAAAAAACATTCTTTATTTCTCCCCTTAGTTGCATGCTGCACAAGTTACGTAGAAGACGTCAGCTAACCAACACCGTCCTACGCAGCCTCCTCAGCAGATCCCTAGATAGCCTTGACCTCCATGACATGTACTTCACGGCAGCCACCGCTCGAATCCTTGTGCAGAAATGTCCCGCGCTCCGCAAACTCAGCCAGAAGGATGCCGGGTATGCAGTGAATGACCAGCTGCTCATCATGATGGTCAAGGTCAGTTTTAGTTTTCTTTTTTCCTTAACAGTGTAATAATACAATATGATAGCACAGTACAATACAATACAATACCTACCTACCTACCTACCACACCGCATGTCAGCTACTGCTAAGGCGGGCCACCATTGCTCTCCATCTGCCTCTGTAAATACAATACAATATAAAATATCTATATATGTCTGTGTGTGTGTGTGTGTGTGTTTGTGTGTGTCTAAACCACATTAGATACACACAGGTGCTCATCATGATGGTCAGGGTGATTTTTGGTTATCTTTTTTTTATCCATTGCATTATGATGGCAATGTACCATACAATATAAAATGCAGTATCTGTGTGTTCAATTGTCTGTCTATCAAATTTTACTGGCTGTGACTATGCATGTTTGTTTTTTATATTCACTTTGGTAGTAGGAAAATATATTGGTTTTGCACTGTTTCTTCTTTCTCTTTTTCTCGAAACCAATAAGGTCAATGATCGACCTGAGCCAGACATTGACATCTGTCACCATTGTAACTGGTGTTGGGTTACATAATGTTGCAATTTTATAGCAGGAGGGATTTAGACTCCTATCACCGTATATACGAATGTGTTTGAGTAAGAATTAATAGAGCACAACATATGCAAAGGTTAACATTATACATTTGCTTTGCAATTGTTACCTTTCTAGTGTAAGAATACATATACAATCATTATACAAAAATATACAATCATTCAGTTCATGTTTAGTTGCTGTTTGTTTCAGAAACTGCCGAACCTGGTCAGTTTGAACCTCTGTGGGTGCACACAGGTCACGGAGAGGTCACTGCAGGCCATGAGCAAAAACTTACCCCTCCTGCAACACCTAAACATTGGTATGATACCACTACCTCAGGAAAGCCTTGTGGCGTTTGTGGAAAAGTCGAGGGAACTTCTACACTTGGATGTGTCAGAGAACAATTTGCTGACAGAGGAGGGAGCAAAATTGCTTGCTGCTATATGTCTGAGTAGGAATATAACTTTTGTTTCCCACTTCAAGTTTTGACATCCTCAATATCTTATACCTAAGAAAAGTGTAGAAAAGAATTTTATTCATGTCAAGGGAACTGCTTCACTTGGAGGTGTCAGAGAACAATTTGCTGACAGAAGATGGTGCAAACTTGCTGGCTGCTATCTGTCTGAGTAGGAATATAACTTTTGTTTTCCACTTCAAGTTTTGACATCCCCAGTACTTTATATCTAATACTATAGCAAATAAGTTATCTGTGTTGGAGTACTTGGTACATTATTACCAAGCACAGAAGACAAAATAGTGAAACCTGCCCAAGGTGACCACACAGGGACTTGAGATAAAAGGTTACCTTGGGCAGATGGCCTTCTTGAAGAGGGTC